AGAGATTAAAAAAAACACCCTGCCTCTGCAGCTGGCAAGGACCCCTAAACAGCAGGCCCAAGCTGTTCTGCTCTGTGTGGGAGGAATAACTTGGTAGTTAGCTCAGATTCAGCAAGACAGTTTAAGCAATGCCCCCAGACTGCTTTGATGTAATAGCTCTTCATTACCTGGAAAATAAAGCTAGCAATCTTATGCACTGACTTCTGGTATGTGTCAGTCAGACAGGCCGTTCACTGAAGGAGCAGAATAGAGCTGAGGAAGACTGGCAGAGACACTTGTTCTGCCCTTGCTCTTGCTGCTTCCCATGTGTCTGGAAATGGTCCAGATACATGCAAGAAACATCTGACCTCAAGATATCAATGAGCTCTTCAAAGTGACTATCTGTTCATTCATTTTGACTGTCATCATGGCCAAGGCATTGAGAAGATGACAAACCTGATCAGGACCATGCTGTGTGTGTTCTCTGAGGTGAAGCAAATGAGAAAGCTGTATAATTGTACTGACAACAGTGATAAACTTTGCTCCTCCCCTGCTAATACTAGTGTGACTGAATAATGGAATTCATACCCAATTCATGCTCTCTTTAAAGACCTGGAATTGGACTGAAAATGCTATTTAACACTTAAATGTAGCCAAGTTCTGTTTTTTTCCAAACAGATAATTCAAGGAAGATGGGGCCAATTGACTCTGAGGGTTAAAAAAAGACTGTTCTCTCTGTGTTTGAGTTGTTTTGCTGCCCAGACTAGAAAAGCCCAGGTAAACTTCGTATAGTTTTATGACACTCTTAATGGTAGGCATGATAATTCAGGCCAAGACAATACAAGCACAGGAAAAGCACGGGAGCATCTTGGTAGTGATTGATGAGAGAGCTCACAAAGTGAAAACTCAAGTTTAGGGGACCTAGGGTCATAACCTCAACTGCATAGCTTCTACTAGTTGCTCTTGGTATGGTTAGTGTTTCTGAGCTTTCCTTGGCACGCTTCATGAGAGAAGACAACTTCTTGTCCAAACATTAAGTCTGCTGCTGCTAGGAAAACAATTGAATGGGTAATACAAGTATTGCTCAAGGCCAGAACCCTTGATAGAGTAAATCAGCTCCCTGTATTTCAGTGACTAATACCATTGATTATCACCAGCTGAGAAGTAAGCCCTGAAAAGCATAAAACAACAGTGGATTAGAATGAGCAATCTATTTTCATATATGCAGAATGATTATGTCTCTACAGAGATGGGGCCAGGCAGAGTTTCAGTCAATTATCACTAGTTCCTTTTCATTGGAAAAAAGAAAAAGAAATAAATGGTTACATCCACACGTCTTTGTGCTTGTTTGTGTCAATATTGCTTTTAACTTAAAACTAAGATGCCCTGGAAATCAAAATGCTATCCACTTTCATTAACAATGCACAGTGCTTATAATCACTAAATTCTTATTTTTGTTTAGTTGTCATCACATGCTTGATCTTTATTTTCCATAAAAAATCAGCCTTATTTACACTAATTTATGCTTCTCATACCAATTTTTTTAAGTTACACCTGCAGATTTTTATCTGCTTTCCCTCAGCATAAAAGCCTTGGAATCAGCACTTTTCCATTCTCCCATGAAAAGTGATGTGGTCTTGCAATGGCATAAGTCATATGATCCGTCTCATTGCTGCCTTAACCAGACACCAGGAGCAACAAAATAAAGCAAGTGCTGTTTTGGCAGCACTTTTCTGAAGTCCCCATGCAGATGCTCTGCGCGTTTCACAGTAGAATTAGTAACAGCAATCATTGTAGAAGACTGAAAATGTCCCTGCTCAGGACCGCTCCTGGCAGTGAGCAATGACAAATCTGTTCCCTTCACTTGACACCGTAAGATGTCCATGCGCTGCAAAGCTGCATGGTTCTGAGGCATTAAATCACATCATGGGAACAAGCAAAACTTGGCTGTGGTACCTGAGGCTTTCCCTGCCTGACATATTACACTGTCAGGCTTTACAAGGCGGAGTAGATCTCCACATTTGAACTCTGCTGCACACCCTGTACTTTCCCTCTCACTCACTCTTTCTTTAATTTGTCAGATGAAGTTCTCTTTATTCAGAGTACATGTATTCCTGATCTGTACATAGAGAATTTAGTAAGAGTTCACTTAAACTGTGTGGCTTGAATAGATAAGCAGTCTTTCTGAAGAGCTCTTTGATGAATTTTAAAAAGTAGCACTGACTTGCACTGCTCGAAATAAATATGCAATGCTTTCTTTCACCTGAAACAAAAATTGGCTCAATGACTGTGCATAGCTCCTAATAATGTCCTTAAAAGTACAGCTTTTAGGATACAGTCACATAACTTTCATAATAACAATTCAACTTGAAATTTCTCAGCCACAGCTAGGGGATACATTTATTTTATAGTAACTATAGGTATTTATCAATGTTCTTCTTAGAGAATACAGCTAAAATGAACAGTTGATTTTTAGTGCAATACTGTTTTGTCAAACCTAACTGCAAATCCAAGAGTGTCTGTTAGTTGCCTTCCATGTTTTCAGCTCAGAACAGTATTTATAAAAACGGCTTATAAACCAGTTTGCATTGCAAAAAAGAACAGTGTTCAGAGAATAAACCCAGGATTTTCCAGTGTGTCAGTGATCCCTTTAACACATGTTTTAAATAACTTTGTATTTTAGATGTCTGGCCATTAAAAAACAGTGTGTGTGTTGCTTTTGCTTATATCAGTTTTGCTTCTTTGATTTATGGAAATCTCCATGAAATCGAAATGGCATCTCCACAGTATTAGAAGTATTAAATATTTCAATATTTTGTTAACTGAATCATGGTCTTATTTGGTGCAGGTTGTCAATAAGTAACCAAAACTAATAGTCTGTAGAAGACCACTAGCATAGACGGTTTGCGCTGTTTTGGTCTAACCCAATGAAATTGGTACGAGTGAAAGTGTGTGAGTGTGTGTGTATAGATAGATAGACATATATATATTATCTTCTGGTTCAGAGAGCTGTATTTTCTTTATATTTTCCTTTTTCATATTGGAGTTAACCAAATGCAGGTATCCCAGGTTGGATGGGGCTTTGAGCAACCTGGTCTAGTGAGAGGTGTCCCTGCCCATGGCAGGGGATTGGAACTGGATGAGCTTTAAGGTCTCTTCCAACCCAAATGATTCTATGATAAAATGGCAAAATGCAAGTTTAATTCATTATGAAGACAGTATGTATAAGAAAGGAAAAGTAATTGAATACAGTCATCAGGATTTGACCATTTGACAGTAATTTAATTTTACTAGTGAAATGAAGATGCCTTGTGTGAACAACAATATCAGCTTTTCTTTGCAGTCAGGAATCTTCCCTCTCCCACCTAAAAAATAACAATTTTTAAAAGGTCAAATTTGGAATTGTCTCTTTGGTACCAATTACATGAATCAGAAGAGAAGGAGCTGAGAAACCCACCTCTGTCTTAGAAAACCTTAATCTGATAAAGACTTGTGGAAAAAGTAAGTACATGCTTGCTGTCATTGAGCTGAATGGGTATCATCTGCTATTCAGCCAAGATTCCAGCCCAGGTTCTTAGAGTTGCCTCATGTCACCAGTAGGTTTGTTGTTATCCATGAGATCCTTCAGCTTTTCCTTCTATGCCTGCTCATGAAAGCCTGATAACTATAATAAAGTAGGGTGTTTTCTCTTGCTCCCTTGGACAAGATTAGAAAGAAGGTCTAATTTGCAGATATCTTTTACCTTTATTACTTCTCCTTTGTGATTGCAGTATTCTTCTGTCTTTAGGGCTCTTAGCAAGAAATTTTCAGTGAAATGCTAGCATTAAACAAAACCAAAGGTAGTACTAGAGTTAAGAAAATTAATTTAAAAGAACCAAAAAAATTTACTAAATTTACTGTGAATTTACTCCTGTTAGTCTTAACTGGATAAGTCATTCTCAGCTTTGTTAAAAAGGGCAAAATAATAAGGAGGAACACATACTGCATGATGGTAATTCTGCTTTTTAATCAAATTGCAAGCATCCCCTGCTGAGCACTATGAGCTCCTTCCCACAGTTAGAGGTCCCTATGAAGCCTTGCCAGGGAGAGCCAAAACTGACAAGTCTCTCCCCTGGGCTTTTCGTATGGGAAGGCTCAGAATCTGTATTTCTAATGAAATGGTCACCATTAGGATTACTAACTAGGCACAGTGAAATGATCAGTCACAGAACACAGTCACTTGATCTCACCACTGAACCTGGAGAAGGGGATCTGAGATTTCAGTCCACTTGAAGTTCAATTTCACCTTTGGAGGTGACCAATAAACTGTGTAAAGCTTAGATTGCATATTAGGAAACATTTATTCACTGAAAGGGTTGTCAAGCACTGGAACAGGCTGCCCAGGGAAGTGGTTGAGTCACCATCCCTGGAGATATTTAAAACACTGTCTACCCCAGACACCACAAAAGGTCTCTTAGCAATTAAAAATCACTTGCCACCACCTCTGAAATCCAACCAACCTTGGAACTATGTCTCCCAAGGGTTGTCCTGAGCCTTTCTTTATTGTGACTGTTGCTATCTGATAAGGTCTTATTGCTGCCTGTTTCAGAGTGTCACTTGTCCCTAACAGGTGACCGCGTATTCCCAATGGAGGGCCCATGTCTTGCAAAATCTTTCATCTGAGTTTGGCCTATATAAATTATTCCACAAGATTACTTTGTCTGGTCAGGCTTTTTTGTGTAGCTTATTATACCAGTCTTTTACTATGTTAAGTCCTAGGATAAACCAGAAACATTTAGGAAGTGTCAGCACCAGCATTTACACACCTAGTCACTACTTCTAGTTAATTGGTGATCAGTTAACTCGAGGCAAGAGAGAGACACACTGAGTCAACACTTACTATGACTTTCCAGAAGTGCTTTTTGTTGGTCTTTCTTCCCGAACTCTTGGATTTCAGCGGGGAACCGAGTTAGAATTCTCAAATAAGAGCAGCAGTAGCCCACCTTTGATATTTCCAGTCTCTTTCTCCTAATGAAATATTCAGAAAAGGAATTTTTTCCTGTGTCAGACCAGCTGAATCAATGTACTGTATCATGGAGAACATCTTTTAAAACATAAGAGAACTTCCCTTTCTATGGAAGTAAGTTAAAAGCTCAATTTTGTTATTTGTCATTAATAATTTCCCACTTGAAATGATTGTATACTTCTTGACCTTGAAATGGTGTTAAAACCAGACTCTTCTGTGTTGTTCTCATGACTTTTTTACTAAAATAATAAATGCCAGATGCACAGTATATTTTTGCATTTGTTATGGTTGGGTATTAAAAGACAGTTGCAATTAGGAGATTGGGCAAGTATTAGGGTACTATGTAAGATCCAAAAGTTAAAATGAGGTTTCAGAAAGTAGTCCAAACTCTCCAGTTTTAATGCTTACCACGGGTTCTCCTCTCATAATAAAAACCAGGCTATACTCTCTTTTGCACAGTCTTCCTGGCAGTGGGTTTCAACAGCACTTCAGCAGCGGAGGACTGTATCGTATCCCATTTTGCAGAAGATGAAAGCAAGGTGCAGAAAATCACATTATTTTTCCCCAAGGTCATCTGTTAAAGGAGGGGCAAAGATAAACTCATTATCACTCTCATGAAGTATTACAATGATACATTTCTCAGAATTCCCAATGTTGCCTTTCCCTGTGTAAAAGTTAGTTACGAAGAAATTCTTAATAACAGCAGGTTGTGTCAAGCATTTTTCCTTTTTGATAGTAGAATGTAACCATTGCTTAGTCCTCTTTGTTCTTTATAAAGTAATTTTTTAAACCACAGGCATAGGTCAGGTACAGGGGGAAAGTCCCTCCAGTTTTAGATCATTGGCAAGGATATGGGAAGTACTGCATGTTTCACTTGCTGTATATCATTGAAAATACGGAGGACTTCACAGCAGAAGTGAATGTTTTAGATTTGCACACGTTTGTGAGAATGTTAATACCATGTTGTGGGAATAGCACTGAGTTCCCTGTTATCATGCAAGCAATTGCTAACTGTAGACCTCTGACTTTGTAATTTGTTCTTTATGGACTAGCCTGCAGCCAATAAGCAAAATCAATAGTCTTTGCTGAAAAGTAAGCAAGTGCCAGTGTGTTATGTGACAGGTGAAGATACATGTGCTTACCAGGGGTCAGAGGGCCACATCAAATTTCTCTCTGACTTCTTTTCAAAAAGCTAAATCCATTTAGGGAGCATTCGTCATTGGAAAATGTTGCAGTGGGGAATTAGACAGGCTTCTGCTCTTCTTTTCTCATTTAACGATGTTTGTTTTCAACAGTCTGTTCAATAATGTCACTGAGAAGAAATTATGTGAGAAGAATAAAGTGCTTATAGTCTATTTATTTATTCATTCATTTCTGTAGAATAACACTAGCTGTTGTGTTCTCATGTTTATTAATGCTATTGTGGCAGTCCAAATATTTGTTTGTTCTCATTTTCCTTTGGAAAAAATGTGTGGAACAGATTACTTACTGTTTAAGCCTAAGGTGAAGGTTACACAGCTCCTAGCATCTTACCTATTCTATAAGCTTTTGTTTCCTATCCTCAATTGCAGCATCTAACTATATGCCATAATTCTAATACTGCACAGAGTTTGGGAAGTCTCTTCCAAGTGGAACAGCCAGGATTGAGGCCACTCAGAAGTCTGCTAGAAAATACAACACCAGCAGCCTAAATGTGTGCTGCTAGCGTGTGATAAAACAGGCTGTTTGTGGTGTATGCAACTGATGCAGTTCCCTCTTTTGCATCAAATGCTGAATGTATTTCAGTGTTCTGAGGTCCACAGAAATCACTGTTCAAACCAGCCCTCATCTCTCAATGTAGCAGACTATAATGAAAGACAGAAAGGGAAAGGAAAAAATCCAGCAGAGGAGTTTTATCTGAAATCCTGAAGTGGCTTAGGCTCATAAGCTACCTAAGAAAAGGACTTTCAGTATTTGGAAGTTAAAGTTATAGTGTCTCTTAATATTTAAGTGCTCAAGTTATGTTGTTTCAAAAACTTTCAGTCTAATAGCAAAAATGATAGAAGGCTTAATGCCATTGTTTGCTTCTTATTGAATGTAGTTGCTCCATTTAATAGCCTGGACTGCTGCCACAGTACCATCATATACACATGTGCAGGAAAAACAAACAGTTACCACACAGGTTCAATCAGATTAAAGGTTCCCTGTGTGAGAGCTGAATACCAAAAACCAGATAGGCACGTTAGATTTCTCTTGTGTCCTTTTTGATTTTAACATGCATAATAAATGTCTCTTAATTTTGCTACCTAGCTTTCTACATAGCTGGGGTTTCTTTTGCTGCTGACTGCACAAATCATTACCATAATACTTTCTCTCAGTTGAGCACTGCTTTTGAAGATGCTGAATGACACTTGATGCTTCCAGAAAGCTGTAGCTGAAGCCCTTCAATCTGGGTACTGCCAAGCTTCATGCTTCCCCTTGATCACAGTTTCAGGATTCACAGGCTGCTTTCGACACCATGTTATATCTAGTGAATGTTCCAGTGTTCAGTAAGACAAATTTCTAAAGTGATTCACAGGCTCTCTCAGCCACCAACAGTAAGAAATGAGGAAAGCTCACTTTCATCATCTTCAAACAAGACTGTTGCCATCTTAGCCTTTAGCTACAAAACATTAAAATAACACATTTAGCTCGAACACCTGTAAGCTCCACAAACTTCTATATCACTGAATTCAGTTACTGCATCTTTTTCCTACGCTACTTCAGTTTGTCAAGAAATAATTCTCTTCTTGACAGCAAGTGCTGGTAGGCAACTGGGAAAAATAAAAAGGGGCAGGATCCAGATCTTATAGTTGATTCTCTCTCAGGGAATGGGTCTGTGAGCAGACTACAAACCAACCAAGAACCTGCCTTTCCGTTTAAGGAGTTGTAAAAATAAACTTATAATGGAATTTTACAGTTTGTGAAACTAAAAGATAAACCTTCCTATCCTCTGCTTCCCTTCATAGTGTAACACAGTTGCTGTTCTGCAGTGACAAGATGAGATAAAACTAAAGTGACTGGAGACATCCCCTGAGCTCGAGGCTGCAGAGGGTTGAGGTTAAGCTTGAGGTTTGCCTGCTCAGATGCTTTTCTTTCTTTTATTTTTTTATTGGGCCTTAAACCTTTCCCACACTAAATAGACACACTTTTATAGGCTTTTTCTTCACAATTGGCAAGGTTTGCAGCCTTATATGAAAAACTCTTCTTGCTGATTCAGACTAAGTGCTTCTTTGTTGCTACTAGTCCCTCTGTCCCTTGAATAGTGCTGCATGCTAGTGCTTGGCCCTGCTCCCTTGCTGGGCTTACACTGAAGCTTTGGGGTCTAAACTGGTTTGAACTTCATATCCTGGATCTGGTTTTGGTCACTTGAATATATCTATTGATCTTATTGTGTGATGCTCTGGTCTGTGCCGCTACATCTTTCCGGCTCTCATTACTGCTTTGCTACGGCACCATCATTTGTCCGGGTAGATGCAGCATTCAGAATGAAATGGAAAGTCTAGTTTACCCAGAAGTCTCTTTCTTTTAACTTCCCCAGAACCCTATCATTTATTATCTTGTCTTTTTCTTGCTTTTTAGTCTTGCAAATATCAAAAGAAATTATCAGAAAAATTAGTCTGGTGCTTGTCTCTTCCTATTTCATCAACAACACACAACGTATACCATTTAAAATAACAACCCCTATCACTTTTGTGATGGCCCTGCTACGCATTCGGTGTGACACATGCAAAAGGAGAGCAGTGGAAGAGGCCAGCAGCTCATGTTCTAGTAGATAACAAAGGTTTGAACATGCATCCTCCTTGGCAGTGGTCTCCAAAACTGTGATCTTTTGAGGTTTTAATTTTGAGGGCTATCCAGATCATGTCACCAAAATATCTTCTTTCTACCCAGCTCATCAGCTGCAAGAAGTTCTTTTTTCAGTATCTTCATTCTGGACACATTGGAATCAAAGAAAGTCTTCTTTAGAGGAATACTTCATTGCAGTTTTGTTATCCTTTCTTTCTCAGTGTGTCACTATGCAAAATGTGATGGGTTGTACGTGCTTGCAAGATCAACTACAGAAAAATGTATCTTATTCTTAAATTAAGCCTTGTTCTCTAAGGGAATCAAATGAACCTGTCTATAAATCAACAGCATCTGTGTGAGAAAAAATCATCTTCCATATTCTTACCTATTGTCCTTCATTTACATTTGCCAGTTTGCTTTCGTTTAAGCCACCTTAAAGCATAATTGATATTCTCCAATTTTTTTAATGGTACTGCATCATATATGTATGTCACCCTTGTCATTATTTCTCTCCTTTTCAAAATTACTGTGAAGATTACCTGCTTTATGTGCATGTTCTTGTAGTGTGTGGAATTGTGATAAATGAGAATGCTAAGACGATAATGATAACAAAATATTCATATCTATATAAAGCCTTGAGAAGAACAGAAGCAAATTCTAAAATAGTTTACACAACTGATTCTTACCTTAATAATTTAGAAATAGTTTACAGAAATAATGGAAAATAAGGAACTTGCAATATTTCTGTGATCAGTGTCTATCCACGACATAAAATTATTCCTGCTGAACTTAGTGGATTTTGGAAAAGGGTCTTGGAGTGGCAGAAAAGAAACTAGAATGAGACCTATGATCAATAAAAATTCAGGAGACCATGTTTAACTGTTTCTTAACTGTTTTGTTAAAGATTTCTTTTCTGGCAATCATAAATGGGACAAATTTATTCAATTAATTTTGCTTTTTCAGTTTCTAATAGTAAGTAACAGGTTGACAATTCATTATTCGAGATTCCTCCTAGAGCACGTGCTGCAGCTAATACCTTTATTCATAAACAGAACACTCTTTGAATCGAACATATTTTTGCTAAAGCAGGCCTCTGGCTTGCAGTTCTTCACTGGTAGTTCATTACAAATGCTTATTATTCAAAACTCCTTTGTAATGGGATATCCAAAACTCTGTGATTGGTGACCATAAATATTCCTACTGATATAACCATTCTAACTGATTCTTAAGCCTATCAAGGCTTAAGTTGTCTGTGGGTATACACTGGTAAAGCTTGCTTTGCCTTAAGGTGGCTATTTTGCAGTGCTTCTTACCAGAAAAAAAGGTTTTTAAAACTATTTATGATAAAGGGAGGTCTGCATGATTAGAGTGCAATTCAAGTCAATTGACTTCAGAAAAAATGAACTCGTGTATTAGATTGTCTTTGCATAAATAACTTTTCTTTACAGAAAAAATGAGGTTAGGCTGCCAATTGGATCAAAAATACATTAAAATGAATTATAATTCAAGTAGATTTCCAGTGTTAAAAAGAATGAAATGACTAGTAGTGAACAAGGTTCTCCTAATAAAAAGTGTTATATCTGACGAGCTCTCCAGATAAGTTCTACTGTTTTCTGCAAAGCAGCAATATTCACTTCATTTTTTATCTCTAAACAGGCTGAAAAAAAGGTATCAATGTTACTTAGCTGCAATGCAAATAAATATTCATAACGATGGCACATGCATAGCTAATTGAACAGGTTTTGTTAATATTATACTAGATATTCA